GGCCGGCCTCCCAGCTACAGGAGCGCTGTAGCTGCAGCTTCCCTGGCCCCCAGAACCTTGGCTAAGGCGGCTAGAGCCACCACTGTTGCTGGCCCCAGCCTCTTCCCTCCCACTCTGGGGTAACCTGCTGCATGCCAGAGGGTGCCTTGCATGGGCATTCCCCAGAGACAACTAGGAGCTCCACAAGGTGTCCTGCTGCTAGTTGTCCCCAGGGAACCAAATGTGTTCTTGTCTGGACATGGCCTCAGTCTCTGTGGAGACTGTCTGGGAGTTAGCTGGGAAGGGAGCTGCTCTGGGGCCAGGATCTTGTGGCAGTGACAGCAAGGGGTGGGACTGGGACAGAGTTGCAATCCAGTCCCTGCACGTCTTTGCCTGTGAAACTCTTGCCCGTCGCGGAAGGGGCAGTGGATTGTGGCTCTGCTCTGGCCCTGCCCTGTGCTGTCACCACCACAGGATTCTGGGGTCTCGCTGGCCTTGCTTTCCTGTTTTGCTTTTGGTCACAGGCCCATCCCAGCTCCCTGGCTGGGTGCCCTGCCTACATGGGTCCTGCCCTTGGTGGTGGGTGCAGGGTAGATGGGCCAGGGTGCCGGGGTAGTGGGTCTGGATCTGGCAGCCAGAAACTGTTGCTGCAGGTGCTGCTGGGAAATGGAGACTGCTGTGGCCCCAATCCAGTCTGAGGGCAGGATTTTGCTCACCCCTGGGCTAGAGGCCAGATGGTAAGGAGGCTTGAAATATATGTGTGTGTATATATATTTCAAGCCTCCTTGCCATATATATTTTGAAAGAATTATCCTGGCACATGAAAGAATTATCCTGGCACATGTCCAGGAAGGGCCAGCAGGGGAGGTTATGGTCGGGGGCAACCAGCATGGGTTCATTAGGGGCAGGTCTTGTCAAACCAACCTGGTGGCCTTCTATGACCAGGTCACCAAGTCCTTGGATGCAGGTGTTGCAGTGGATATAGTCTTTCTGGACTTCAGGAAGGCCTTCGACACAGTCTCTCACCCCATTCTCAGTAA